AGTAAATCTTTGTATAAGATTTATGGATGCTCATCTGAGGTAAGCCCAACATCTTTCTTGCTGGTGGTACCAGAACCAGTTCACAGTCGGGTTTAATGAAAGACTCAGACACTAAAAACCCTTAAATTTGACATTTTATTTCATTGCAGAAGAAAAATCCAACATAGGCCTCATTATGTTATGCATCTTTAATTATAAAAATAAGCAAAGAAAATAACTTGCATCTTTCTCATTACTATGATATGTCTCAAATAACCTTTTATATGAACACACTGAGCTTTAAAAATGTAATTTAAACAATAAATAATGACATATACCAGATATGCTCACTGTTTATTCCAGTACTCAGCAAAAAAAGAAAAAAAAAACAAAATAAACCAAAACAAAACCAAAACAAAGAACCCAAAGTCTCTCTCCCCTTCTAGGCATCTTTAAATTATAAATACAATAAATGGCAAATTTATAATGGCACGAAAACGTTCTAAAGTGCAAACAAATCACAACGAGACCCATGCAAACGTTTCTAGAGAAGCCCCTCCCCACCCCCAAGAGAAGATTAAAATAAAATAAAATTTAAAAACCCCAAAAAACTCACTTTGCCATGAAAACCATGAGATTAAACAAAAATAAAATGAAATAAAATAAAATAAAGCGTCAGAGGCGAAGCAGTGAAATTGCTGGACTCGAGATCGAGTTGAAATCGCTGCCAGGAAAGAGAAATTTCATCGTGACTGACCCCCCAAAAACATCAGGTTCGGGGGGAAGGAGGTGGGGGGATGGATCTCACGCTCCTCCCCGGCCCTAAATCGGCTTTATCCGCCTTTTCTGGCGTTTCCCAGGGAATGGAGAAGCCGCTTTCCACCAGGAACATCCCCACGGGAGGGGGTGGCTGCCGGGTGTCCTGGGGGGGAGAGGCTTTGGGAAACCCCCCTGGGAGCTCTGGAGCACCAGCCCAGCCCCCCAGGGGGTTGTTTGGACCTTTCCTTGGAATTATTTCCCTCCCCACCAGGGAGAATTCCCTGTCTCCCAGCAGGGCATGGGAATCCCACAGCCTGGCATCAAAGTTCCTGATCCGACCCCCTCTCCCTCCCACACCAACTTTTAGGGTCGGGATCTTCGAGGAGCCTTTGGTTTTGGTTTTTTTTTTTTTTTCACCTTGCAAAACTTCTTCTCGTTGGCCTCTCTATCCCTGACTGCCCGAAGAAGGAGCAATATTGCATCTTCCTCGCCCTACAATTCAAAATAAAAATTAAAAGAACAACCCTCTACCGTCAGCAACATTTGTTGTTGTTGTTGTTGTTGGGGTTTTTTTTGTTTGTTTGTTGGCTGCTCCCAATTTTCTGACAGCACTTTTGGGCTACACTGAACGAAGACAGAAACATCAGACACGCTGCCACTGCATCTGGTTTCAATATATTAGCAGCAAGTTATTGTTTAAAGGCTTCGTGGTTTGGTTTTTTTTTGTTGTTGTAATTTTTTTCCTTTTTTTTTATTAAAAAAAAACAAAATGAAAAAAAAAGAAAAAAGAAAACATATATTGCTTTAGGTTTCGAAAAGGAAAATAGATCCCTCCTTTATTAGCTCGCTGAGCAGCTGAGGAAGAGTCATCCACTCTGCAGATGGACTCTGAGGGGATGGATTTGGACCTGACCTGGGTGATCCTGGTTTTTTTTTGGCTCACCAGAGCCAGGCCAGGAGAGTTGGGAGTGGTTTTTGGGGGGGGGACCCTCTACTCCTCTTCCCAGAGCCTGCTGAGGAGGAGGATGGGAGCAAAGGCAGCTCCCAGGGGGTGATCCCTGTGCCCTCAGCTTCACTTCAGAGAATTGCAGGATTTTTTTGCCTGCCTTTCCCCAGAAATCAGCCACCTGAGGGCAGTTTTATCCCAAAGCAGCTGGTGATTCCTACAGCAGCTTCCCCAGCAGCACTGGGGTGTGAGGGTGTCTCACAGCAGCTCTGGGGGGGATAGGACTGGCCAGGTTGAACTCTTTGTTTTAGGGTTTGGGGTTTTTTTTTCCCCTCCATTTTAGCCATGAAAAGCTTGTTTCTGGCCCTGCAATTCCCATCCTAAACCTTTTTTTTCCCCCATCTTCCATTATTTAAAAAGGCCACGGAGTAGAGCTCTTAAATATGACAGAGACACTGTTTCCAGGAAAAGAAAAAATGAAAACTAAAAAAAGAACAAGAAAAGAAAGAGCTAAATTACAAAACTAAGTTTAGGCAATAAAGTTATTATATTCTGCTCCTTTCCAGCAGACTCTCGCGGAATTTATGTACAGTACATGACAGATTTTAAAACTATTTATACCACAGTTAGAGCAAGACCTTTAATACTCTAGTCTTAAGACAGGGTTTGTTTCTGTTAGGTTTTCTTTTAAAGCTTTAGACAGTTAAATACAGTACATAGATGTTAGCTTTTAAATACAATGCAAGATTATGGAACCTCCTGACCAGCTTCAGCCTCAGGCTGGCACCTCTTTTGATCGTTTCTGGAGTACAAAACGTCCCTTTCCTGATTTTGGGGGTGGTGGGGGGGGTTGGGGGTTGGTTTTAACTCAGTTTGCCCCGTGGTGCCGGTGGGTCACAGTGACTGAACTCACCCACAGCCGGTTTGGTAAAGCCAGGGGGGTTTTTAGCAGAGCTCTGCTGGAAGGGTTAGGACGCTGCAGGACGCTCTAAGAGACCAGGAATACGGCAATTCGTGTTCGTCCATGGCCAGCACAGATTCATAACACGAGCTCCGCTGCCACCTTTAGGGATGTGCAGCGGTTTTTAGTGCATCTCTTGTCAGGGGCCCAGATCTTCAGACTCCGGCGGTGTCAGCACTACAGTACGTTTAGGGTTCGGCGTCTGAAGGTCTGACCACTCAAGATTGAGACCTTTTGGGATATAATTTTTTGTTTGTTTGTTTGTTTGTTTTGAAGGGAGGGGGTGGGAAGAAAAAGAGACGGAGACGTTTTGCCGGCAGGAACCGAACGCTGACCCCCCCAACCCCCCCCGGAAAAGTTTTGTTCGGGGCTGGGGGAGGGGGGAAAAAGGGACAGAAAACACCAAGGACTAAACCTAACCCCCCGGGGTCCCTGGGTGTGGTTAGAACAAGCTACAGTGCACTTGGGCCTGGAGTGCATTCGCTCTGGAGCTTTGGTAGCGCTTGGCATCCCCCTCAGAGCCCCCGTCACGCGCTCTCGGCCAAGCCGCGCTTGGCGTGGGCCGGGGCCGAGCCCTCACCTCGCAGGTTCCTGAAGTAGAGCTTGAGCTTCTGGGGCTCCGAGATCCTCCTCCTGCTGAGGTCGGCGCGGGGGTGGCCCTGGGCGCAGTGGTCGGCCTGCAGCAGGTGGAAGAGGCTGGCCATGTTGGGCCCGATCTTCTCCATCAGGCTGTCCTTGATGGCGCTCACCGTGTCCTCGTCGCACTCCAGCAGGCTCCTCACCAGCTTGTTGTAGTATCTGCACCAGGGGAACACCCTCGTTACCCCCCCTGGCAAGGAGCAAATCGAGCGAGGCGAGGGCGGCCCCAGAGATAAAACCGAGGGAATTGGAGTTTTGAAGCCCCCCTCGTTTTTGTTTAAAAGCTAAAAACACTCAGCCTGGCAGCGCACAATGTACATGTCACCACGGGGTTGTTAAGGTTGGAAAGGAACTCTGAGATCAAGACCAGCCTTGTTGTCACCTTGTTGTGACACGGGGGTGGAGCACAGTCACCAAAACTCTGATTTAATTGTCCTAAACCTGCTCCCACAGTCGCCTGGCTGGGCTCTGATGAGCCAAAAAATCAGGATCGACCAGGCCAGTTCCAAATCCATCCAGAGCAGCGCTGGATGGTGGGGGTATAAGCAGAGTGGGTTTGGTGTTATCCTGGTGGATTGGGAAGAAGGTAAAGCCCAGGAGCTAAGGGCTGTGTTACTTGGCTTAAGGGTGTGTTTTACTCTCCACTAAAGAATCCAAGTTTCTGGAGCTTTGGGAAGAAAAAGAATTGCTCTTTCTACCAGCAGGTGCTGCCCATCCCCAGCCAGGATCCCAGCCTGGGAATGGACCCATCCCTGAGGCTTCATTCCCTCTTGTCCCTCTCCCTTCCCCTCCACGCACAGCCTTTCCAGGGGACCACAAGAGGGAGCAGCCAGTCCCTCCAGGCCTGAGACATGCACGTATCCCCTCGGGACAGATCCTTAGGGACACACAGTCGTCACCCCCGAGCTGGCCAGGCATTAAATCCCAAGTGAGGACCTTGTGCTTCCCCCTGGCACGAGCCTGACTCCCCAAAGCTTCATTTTCCTCTTGCAGCAGCCCTGAGCACGTATCCCTCGCTCAAGGAGGAGCCAGGAAATGGTGCTGATCCGTTTTCCCAGCCCTGTGAGAGCAGTGATCCCAGGAATGATCCATGGGGAAGGCAGAGCCAGCACAGCCTCACGAGCAGGGGCTGGCACAGCAGAGCTGGCACCTCCTTGTACCAGGGAACACCTTCCCAGGGAGACAGAGCCAGGAAAAAGAGGAGCAGCCCCACATTTGCTGCCTGGAAGGACTCTGGGGAACTTATTTTAAGCCTTTAAGGTCACCCTGACATTTTTCCACGGGAGCAGAGAAGAGAATAACCTGCAGGTGGAGGAGGGGAAGGAAGAGGGAAATGAGAGCTCGCATCCAAACTCCTTTCCCAACTCTCAGCTCTGGCCCGTGGAGCAGCCAGGGGAGGTCAGCTGAGGTCAAAGTTTGTGCTGCACTTCAAGCACAAAAGGGCCAGGCTTTGGCTCAGCAGGGCTGGGCTGCAGGTTTAAAGGGAGCACAGCAGCGATGGCCAACCAGCCACACGGCAGTTTAAATCAGCCCCAGCCTAAGACAGGGACAGCAGGGGCAGATCCCAGCCAGCCTGGTGGCTTCCATGGCTGGAGCTGCAATCCCAGAGCTTGGCAGTGCCTTCAGCAGCTCAGCTGTGAGGCAGAGGCAGCAGGGCTTTCCTCTCCTGCTGCTCCTGCCACGAGATTAAATCACAGGAAGGTGCTATGACCTTTAACTACTTCCTCCCAGCAGCCCAGGCCAAGTGGCACATTCTTATTCCGTGGCTATGTTGGGACAGGGGCTGGGAAAGCAGGATGCTTTAGGAGCCCTCAACGTAAACTATTAGCTGGGAAATCCTGCTGCTTTTGTTACTCAACATGTCATAATATCCTCTGGCTCTGGCAGGGGTTGGCAGATGTGGGGGAGGAGTTCCCTCCTCCTCCTCCTGGGCAGATCCAGTCCTGGCCTGGTCCTCTGGGAGGAACATCCCCAGCACTGCCCAAGTGTCCCCTCTTCACCCCAACCCCCCTCCAGCCCCACCAAGGGCTGTTTAACTCTAAAATCCATCAATTTAACTCTGCAACCCCTCGATTCAACTCCACAACCCATCAGTTCAACCTGGGAACGCTCCTTGTCCCAGCCCTCAGGGAACACCAAAGCAAACCCCTCCCAGCTTTCCCTGGGGAAAGACACACAAATGTCATTTTTACCTCCCCCCCCCTCTCTCCCCAGTTTAATTTTGGGTCACTTTCTGGATTTAATATCTGCAGTAGAGTTTTGTACAACAGGGCAAGCACTTCAGTGATCCTCGTGTGCCCCTCCCAGCTCAGGATATTCTGTGGTTCTGTGGATAAATCCGTGCTGGGTAGAGATGCAACATCTGTTTATCACTTGCACACCTGTCCTAGGACGGGTCTGGAGGCTTGGGGTGCTCCTAGACCAAGCCAAGCAGCCACCCCAGAGGAGCTGAGGGGTTTGCCATGACAAGCCAAGGCCTTGCACTGCAGCTCACCCTGTTTGCTCTCCAGTTCCAGAGCGTATTTACTCCAAACTGCTCCAGAAGATCCCTTTTATCCCCATCACAAGACTCAGCACTGATTGTTCCAGGCTTCATGGGGAAGCAATCCCTGCCCCTGCAGCGTGACTGAGCAGACTGCAGCACTCCCTGAAGCCTCCTCCCTGTGTCCCTTGTCCTTGCAGGAGGGGACAGGGCAGTTCTGTGCTCCCCTCGAGGTGCCAGCCCCGTGATGTGCCCGTTCCTGCAGGGAGCCTGTGCTGCCAGAGGGAGCAGGGCTGAGGGCAACCCTAAACCAGATCACTCAGGAGCCCAGAGCACCCCTAGAAATGTGAACAAGGTGGTAGAGGATCATGTTTGCTGGTTCCTTGCAGCTTTTCCTGGTTTTTCACGGTGCCATGGCAAGGCAGAGGGCAGGGACTCCTTTTCCAGGTGCCACAGAAACCCAAGAGAGGGGGTGGCTGCAACCTGGTCTAGAGGAAAGTGTCCCTGCCCAGGGACATGAGATGAGCTTTGAGGCCCCTTCCAACCCAAACCATTCCATGATTCCATGTTTCTACTCTCTGAGGTGCTCAGTATTCCAGGGGTGCTGAATGAATGGGTCTGGTTTGGGATTTAAAAGCCCTGCTCACTGTTAACACTGCCCTCCAACCCAAAGAATTAACACTTAACCAAAGCTCTGGGCCTTGATGCCCAGTTCATCCTATGATTCTCCCACTGGAGATGTTTGTAAGTGTATTCACCAGAAAGAGGAGCAGGAGAATGCTGGTTAAACTTGACAAGGAGTTGGAGAGGTCAGAGAGCAGGGCTGGGCTGAGCTGTTTTAGGATTGCAGGAGTTCAGTCAGCTGGGCCCCGTTTCTGTCTCTCAGCCCCACATACCTGTTTGAGAACTGGTTTGGGAGCTGCACCACCTCAGTGATGGCCTCAGGATTGCGTTTGGCGATGCCACACATGTCCAGCTTGCTGTAGCACTCCTCCTGCACCTCGGAGATCATCCTCTGGAACGTGGAGCACCTGCGGATGGCCAGGAACACCTTGGACGTCACCCCGTTGGCAATGCACTTCAGGCTTTCCTTCACAAAAGCTTTTCCCTGCAAGCACAGGAGGAGAAAAAAAAGGGGGTTTTCCAGGGCTTTCCAGGGGCTTTCCAGGGAAAACAACAGGAAGGGAAGTCCTGCAGGTACTCCCATGGTGCCTGGCTGCTGTTAATTGCCCTCCTTGCAATTAGAGACCTGCTGGAGGTCCCTTCCCAGGCACGTCTGATCCTCACAACTGGGATGCACACGGCCCAGAACTCTTGTTCCCAAAGGATTTAGGCAATGGAAGGCTTTGCATGAACAGATCTGGAAGTGCCAGGAGCAGAGATGGGCTAATTCTGGCCCCCCCACACTTCCAGGAGGGGGGTGGATTGGTTTAACCATCAATTTAATGCCAGAGATTTAACACCTCTGCTTCACCAGAACTCAAGATGCTCTGAAGTTTGCCCTGGAAAGCAAAAGAACAGGGAAGAAGGGGCTGGTGTGCATTTTAGGAGGAAAACCCTCAGGAAAAGTGCCCTTGGCAGAGCCCCAGCCCTCCAACATCATCCCATTTATTCCGACTGCAGCCCTGGAGAGGCTGACCTGGCCGTGTATTCCCAACCCCAAAGACTTCCAACCCAAACCCCAGCCCCGTGCCAGGTCAGCACAGTCAGAAGAGTTATTTTGTTAGAAGAACATTTCTATTTCCTCCTGGAGAGGAAACTTCACCCTCCACCCCACCGAGCCCTCCTCGCCAAGTCCTCACACGTAGCGGTGGGGGGACGTGTGGAAACTGCCCTGGAGAAAACACCCTTGGAGGACGTGCCTGGAGCCAAAAAACCCGTGGCTGAGAGGAGCAGCCAAGCAGCAGGAAGGGCTGCAAGAAAGGAAGGGTTAAGCCTGCCCAAAGCCTGGCTCTGGAAGGAGGAATTAAGGTCTCGGTTCCGGTGTCAGTGGGACTTGTAAAATCCCTTTATTGAGAGGTTTTACCCTGAGGGTTTATTCTGGATTATTCTGGTCCCCTGGACTGCTCCTGCCCCTGCCCCCAGTACCTGAGTGTCGAATTTAGCAGCGCTGTAGAGGAAGGACTTGCAGATGTCGTACATGCCGTCCGTGTCGCACGTGGAGTTCTCCAGGCAGGCGAAGGCGCCGCAGCCCACCTGGAGGGCCCCGTTCAGGCACCGAACCACCTCTGCTGCGGGGACAGCCATGGGGGGGGGACATCAGCACACGTGGACACAGCTCCCCAGCACCACAAAACCACCCCCCAGAACCAGGGCAAGTCATGCCAGGCTGCGGACAAGCATTTAATTGGGGCTGGGTGGGGGGGGGGGAGAGGTTGAAGGGAGGGTGCCCACCTGGGAAAGGGAAGGCTCAGAGCCCCTTCCAGTGCTTAAAAGGGGGTTATAAAAAGAGGGAGAGTGATTTTTTATATGTGATAGGAGGAGGGGGAAGGGTTTTGAGCTAAAAGAGAGGAGAATTAGGTCAGATGCTGGGAAGAAATTCGGATGGAGGTGAGGTTGCCCAGAGAAGTTGTGGCTGCCCCAGCCCTGGAAGTGTCCAAGGCCAGCTTGGAGCAACCTGGACTAGTGGAAGGTGTCCCTGCCCGTGGCAGGGGGTGGCACTGGATGAGCTTTAAGGTCCCTCCCAACCCAAACCATTCCAGGATTCTACGATTCCAGGTTTCCACAAACTGAAGACACGACCCAGCAAACCAAGGACCAGAAAATGAACTACCAATTCACACATGGGTTAAAAGAGGGGCAGCATCTGGTGGCCTTTGGCTGGATAGATCCACCCCAACCGAATCCTGATCCCAGGCATTCATTCACAGCTTCATTCCAGCTCCCTCTGGAGAAGAAGAAGCAATGAGGATGGGCCCAAGAAGAGCACCAGGTGCCCAGATCCTCCCCTGGGGCTTAGTTCACAAACCTCATCCGAAAACAGGACTGAAGGGATGGGGATTGCCAAGAAGATGCCAAGAAATCTGCACTCCTTGGGATGTGTTTGTGCTTCCCTAAAAAGCCTGAGGCATCCAAGAAATCCGATTTTAGTCTGTGAGAGTCGATTATCAGCGCTGAAAAGGACTGGCTCAGGCAGCTTGGTGCTAAACCCTGACCTGGTGGGCTGCAAGCACAGCCAAGAAAGGTCATTTTTTTTTTTTCCAAAGATTTTGCGAGGAGAAGGGACATTTGGGCAGAGAAAGTTGAGGTAATGGAGCTGACCATGTATAATTAAAATCCTCCAGGCAGCAGTTAGTCTGAGCAGGAGGGTATCCATGTCATCCCAGCTTTTTTTTTTTTTTTTCCCCCGTGCAGATCCCATGCATTTTAACAATGAATCAGCACTATTGCCACATGATTGCCCTGAAATTAGGAGGGGATTAACCTTTTTTGGTAAGCTGAACATCTGTCCCCTTATGTGTCTGGGCAAGGCATATTCATTACTTTTGCAGCTCATGTTACCAGACATTCTTTAGGAAGAAATGCAAACCCATCGAGCTCTGAGGTGTGGGAAAAGTGAGGGGTTGGTGGAAGAGAACACACCTTATTGAGAGCTAAGTTGTAGCCTAAAGATCATTCTTTACAACTGGGATTTTTTTTTTTAACAGCAAAAAAAAAAAAAGAGAAATAATATTAAATAATAATAATAAAAATAATAATAAAAAAAAGCAATTAACCCCTCCTCATTCTTGCCTACGTGCCTGAAGGGAGAAATATTTGGTCAAGTCATCCTCTCCCCAGTTCACAACCTCCCCACTGCACGAGTCACCCCCATAATTACGCTTCCACAGGTTCAAATTATAACTTTGCTCGCAGCAGACTTAGGAGGAATTAAGCTTTTATTGTTTTAGGCACGGTGCAAGAGTGAGACCCCATGTTTCTATAGCAACCAAATACAAAAGGAAATCGAGCAAACACCCTGCTATAATGCTGCAGAGCCTTGCAGATCTAAAATAAGGCAGCTGTTAATGAGCTCCAAATTAGAGCCCTAATATCTTTCCAGTACAGTAGAAGAGAGATTTTTAATTCCCATTGTTCGAGACAATGTCTCCAACTTATCTAAGCATCAAAGTCGAGACATCCAGAGCTGACTTGCCAGTAATTTTCTTTTTTTTTCCTCTCCCCCCATTGTAAAAGCAAGTTTGTTAAATGTCACAATCGTATTTTTATCGTCCCAGCTCACTGATAGCAATCAGTTTGGGGAAATAAATGCGAGCAGGGGACAGTTTCTAGGTTACTGCATTCTCCAAAGTCGCAGCTCTCTC